GCCGTAAGCCCGGACTCGATTTCAGCTATTAGTAAAGCGATCGTAATATTGAAATGAAGTTCTCAGGCACACCCTTAAAAGGAAGGCAGCACCAGAATTTAGAGCGGTCGACTGAGTCGAAAGCCGCTTTCAAATTGAGGAAAAAAGATGGTGAGTGAACGAAAAGGATGTCGCTGCTCCAGATTTTGAGGAAGGGTGAAAATATGTTTTATACAACCCAGACAAGGCATAAAACCAGCCTGGTTCCCTCGCGTGCACCCTTCACGTGCGGCAGCCAATCGATGGAGTACGATATCAACGGGGAGTTAGTAGGCGATGTTGACAAAACTGATTGCTCTACGGTTTTCACAAGAGGATCTATCTCATTATATAAATCCGTAAGGTGATCGATTCACACCATTCAGTTACAACCTGTTCTTTTTTCCATACCAAACCCAAAAGTTCCGTCAACTCCAAGACCACCTCTGACCCTCCATCTTTAAAATTCGATGGGAACAACCCATCCGAGCCGGACATCTTATTTCTTTTGGAATAAGATATTTCCCGAGAAAATTCCATTTTGGATGGAGAGCTGGTATCGACTGGGAGTGTTTGCGCAATGGAGGTAGGAGGGGTGTTGTTTGATAAGTTGGGTGTCGCTGGGGGCTAGCTGAACTGGGCCTCGAAATTTTCAGCCGATGGGTGAAGATAGTGTTGCTGATGATGAATTAGCGTGCCATCGAATTCCTCAATTGTTTCGCTTACGTCTACTTTTCTTTAGGATCGTATTCCCAATTCTTTGCTTTACTGCGGCTGGCTCCTTGGAAAGAATAAGCCGGCTCCAGACGTAATCCTGATTAAGATTATAGCGTTCCTTGGGAGTTTGGTACGAGAGACGTCCCCACCGTCACTGCGTTTTTCACTTTGAGGGCGCACCTCTAGCCTTTGTACAACCAAGTTTGAACCGCAAGACAGCGGGAAGTAATCCCTCGCCTCAGAAAAGAGGGAGTCAATGACTTTAGTTTTAAAAGGCCAATCACATCGACCTTTGTCACGACACCGTCAGTGAGCTTATGTGGCTTTTCAACAGGAGCCAGGTGACCAGCCTGAAACCCACCACACCCCGATAGTGCCGCCAGTTAGATGGAAATAAGTGCGAATTATACAAAGAGCGTGATGATTTAAATAGGGTCTTTTAGGCGTGCTTTTGGGACATATCATATGTCGATGTTGATGTTTCAATGATTCTAGCTACGGCTGTTTTTGGCCGATCTGATAGAGCTTGCAGACGTGTAAAAAGGATTTTCTCTTCAACAATCCTATAAGTGATTGTATGGTCTTAATGGTAAAACGCTGATCGATATCTGATGGGTGGCGCAAACTGAAGGCATCTCCTAAGACTTGCGAGAAGGTGGAAGAAATATACAAATGAGAAAGAGTTTTTCAGATGCGTTCCTAGGACTTTAGGGCACGAGATACTCGCGGTAGACCATACCGACGAAGGGGTTTTTCTTTGGGGACCCTGACCCGAGCCTTGGATTAAAAAGAAAACGGGTTATTTTTACAACAGATATGAAATGCAGAATGAAAACTGTACTCATCTCAAAAGGATCCAATGTAAAGTTTTAAGGACAGACTGATATCTGGAGCTACAGTTTTCATCATGAATGCACCCTCATAGATACCAAACACTGGTCACTAAAAAGAGGGTTTTGGTGAACACCATAATGACTTGCCAAAACTTACTTTAAGGCTTTTAATTGAAACATGAAAACTAACAAAAGATAGATTAGAAAGCACCAGACAGTTAGATCGAGAAAAGTTTCCCTTCACGTTATCTTTAATTGAAGGGAATCTGAAGGTGATGCATGTAAATAGTTGATTTATCTAGTTCATAAAGTATTGAAATCAAAGAGATAAAAGTGGTTTGCCGTAATAAGTTTGGAAATAAAAGTAGTCCTAAATTCATCGTAACAAAGAACAGATGCTTCATTTTTCCTTCGTTGTTATATTACTATACTCCACGTGCACCGAACAACTCGCGATACAATAATTTTTATAAAGAAGAAATCGGCTCATGATTTATTCGTAAGTGAACTGCTGTCCAATTGTTCAGTTCAGAGTGGACGTATTTTCTTGATGGATCTACAACCAGAGTCTTCGGCTAACCAAATTTTGACCCAAAACAACGGTGTGTAAAAACCACAATCCATCAGAGGCCGGTGTTCTGTTTATTGAGTCTTTATTGAACGTGGGATAACAAGTAAGACCTACTTTGGAGTTAGAACAAGGAACATTTTTATATTTACATTTGGCATTATTTACTCGAAATAAAATAACGATCCTGGTCAAAACAAGGCAAGCAAAACCTTCCAAAAAAGTGAACGGTAAATGGTTGTGTAAGCTAATCTAAATTAGAAAAGTTTCCCGAAGAACCATCGAAACATAACAATATACACTTGTGTGATGAACAGCAGGCGAAGTGGACCCCATCGTCACGAAGACCTGCTGTTCAGTCATGGAAACCGGTAACTTTACCCCCGGGACTTGGAGTGGCGAACCACATGGGGTATTGAACCGTAAGACAGCAAAGCTGCCTGTCAGAAAAGTTGGATGGCGATGGCGGGGGTCGAACTTCGAACCAGAGTGTCCAAAGGAGGCCGGTGACAGTGACTAAACCACCGCGCCATCACCAATTTTATGAATTTGAAGACGTAACCTCCAAACAAAATGTACTTAGTTTCCATACCCGCGCTTTTAACCGATACAAACTATGCGCCAAATGTGCAAAGGAACCATGAAGAAGCTTTCAGTAAAAGCAATGTGTGACTTTTTTTGTACCACCTAGCTACGAAAAATCCATTAATTGGTGCTACATAAGCGTGGTACCTGTTCGAGGCTCTGTCGGGTTGTGATAGAACAATAGCGATTATAATCCCGATTCATTTATATAAACACTCACATTCTGGCTGAGTATCTAGTGAGCGGATCAGGTTGTACAAGAAAACGATTCCGCTGGGTACTTTAGTGACTAAATGGTTATTTTGTCGAGATGCCTCTGAAATGTTGATTTAAAGTTGTTAGCAGGACAAAAGTTGTGATTTCAAGTAGTCTATTCATATTCCCTGCATGAATATCCGTAGCATGTTTGTAGAATATGTGAAGGGCTTTCACCCCATTTGTTTGTTGATCTTCTCATTTAAAGTTGACATTGATTGCTTCTGCAGTGAAATTCAACTACTAGAGGTTGGACCATTTAATCACAATTTACAAGGGCAGAGAACTGTTTTTTTACACGATAGACAAGAGGTTTTCTACTCCGGATGCCTGATAGTTTTAGCATCAAACATGAGGTTATTCGTTATAATGTGAATACGAGAGGATCACTGTTCAAGCGAACCAGAGGTGACTAATTGTTGCGGTCGAAAGATGTGTCATGAAGTGTTTGACCGTCGTTGCCCACTTTGCGATTCGTCCGCATTTTCACTATCAGTTAATAACCAATTTACTTGGATAGACTTAGCATTTAACAAATGAAGGACCGAAATACAACAATAACCGAAAATGCGATGTACCTAAATGGTTTTATACAAGGAAGAGTTCCGGTACAGACATTTTCCTTTATGATAAAGATGACTTCTGTTATTTTATATATCTAAAACGCTTATTCTGTTCTAAAAAAATTACTTTTCCACATCGGATTTGATTTTTTCAGTTGTATACCACTACCAGGTCAATATTGGGTTTTATGCGGTTCAGCCTGACGATTGTTCACATATCACTCCTATTTATTTGTATTTCATACCCGTTTGAGTCTAGATTGTGTGCCAAACAAATCACGGTACAATAATCTTTATAAAAGTTAAAAGTTACATAATTTGCATGTGAGTTAAACACTACCAGGTGGTCCAGGCTAAGGCAAGCCACCAAACTGTTGTGTTGTTTCATTCATTTTGAATCCAGACTTATTGAAAATGTTGCTGTGTTACTCTTCTGGTAGAAATATAATGACCATCAGCTGACCAGATGTGCTGAATTGAATTGCGCTATGTACCTATCGATTTATACGTCTTAAACTCTGTTCGAAGGGTCACCAAACTACGCAACTCATCACACGAGAGTACAGATACGCAGCTTGAGAGATATGGGATCTATGTCATGCTTTTCAACCAGAAGCAGTTGTGGCACAATCGCATTTCTACGTCGCAGTATTGACTTGTGCGCTATCGGTCGTTAGTCATTTGTTTAGTCTGCTCCCGGAACAATCCTCATAACATCTGCCGCAATACGGACTAATCGCACGAATCGACGGACTAACCGATCAATAGCTTTTGCTTAGCGCCTCATCAGGCTGAGTGAACAGCGTAGCACGTGGCTTGTCTGTTACGCCCACGTGTCTCTAAAAACAGGCATGATTTCGGGATGAACGGGATAACCGGAGGGTCGTTTTGTGATACGTTCCGTCTGTGGGTATGCGCTTGCGGATACTGCTCTGTTTACCTGTTCGTTTCTCTCTCTCTTTCCCTCACTCCGTCCGCTAATACCGCTCACTGATTCGTCTCAAGGTATTCTGCCGCGCTTTTCTCACGCTTTCTCAGTTGCTGTCATTCTTCAAAGATGAATATCTGTGAGACGCAGGATTCTCTCGCTAATTTGGAGAACTTTTAATGAAAGAATTAGCTTCCTATTTTTTGTAGGATGCAAAAGGCTGCGCGGAATACATTCTACATGTGAATGTCATTGTCTGAAATTCTGTTGATATCATTATTCGGATGGCCTTTTTCAAAGTGTCAAGTGCTGTGCTTATTTGCGAGGAGTTACGCAATTACTTTTATTTGATTATCACCGCACCAGGAGCAAAATGCAATGAGCATGATGGTCATGATAATGACGATGATGATAAAGTGGGTTTTCGTGTAATCATTTTTTGGCTTCCAGCATAAAGCAGAAATTTTCTGGACCTATGGGAAACTGATATTTTCTGTTTGCTCATTTTCCCAACACCTTACGATATGCATCAGCTGAGTTGGGTGATGCCCCCGACTCCGAAGGCTCAGAAAGTCAACCCGGACAAACTGAGACTACATCCTCACCATCGGTCCCTTCTAATCGGGCGTCCACCTATTCACCAAATGCAAGCGCAGATACTTCCGGGCCCAAGAGTATTCCCACTACACCAGAATCCGCCAAACCCGACACGGACGGGGCGGATAAGACATTACAAGGAAATAACTACTTGCACAGTTTGAAAATAATTATAACACAAACGCCCAAAGTGGAAGCGGAAATTATGAAAGAACATAAAATTTTGAGGTATGTGGTTTCCCATGATATTCCTTCTGTAGACAACCATACTACAATAGATGTCCTGTNCATGTTTTTTTTCAAGGCGATGATATATGAGCCTACAAATCGTCCATTTTTTATACTGTAAATAGATTCCTTGACTTTACCTATTTGTGCTTGGGTTCTACGGGATCCGATTAGGATGAAAATGTTTGAATAGCAAACTTTCTGTAACACTTTAATCTAATCACACTAACAAATCACAATGGTGTTTATACTCTAAACGAGCTGCGGTAATAATGACCTCTGTGGATCTATCTGTATCTCAGATGCTTAGAATTTGTGATACGAGAGAAAAACGTTCAGGGGTTTAGACACAGTTGTGTTTCGGAATAACCCGTCAACTTCCTGCGTCTCTACATCGTGATATGTAAGCAACCGTCGTGTTGTAGGCTACTGAGCTCTTTCAATAATGGCAAAATAAAGACTTTTCAGTTCGTGAAATGCATATTGTTTGTGTTTTGAATCGGTGCTCAACGAGCACATTCCTTATCATCACGGTTGTTCATCCAGACCTGAATATTGTTCCTGCTTCGTGCTTAGTTTACCTTAAAGACGGTAGCACAAGGCTAAGTGTAGGGGTCGGTAAGACGACCTGTTCTTATCACCAATGTCTTGTCTGTAAAAGGGATTTTTTAATCTTATGCAATGTTCAAAGTGTCAGATCCGAACAACGTTCGGAGTGTGTCGAAAAATCGATGCGCCATGTCATATGTTTTATATAAGTTGTAATTTTGAAAACACAGCGATGTCGGTACAAGTGCGATTTTACAATCGAATGACGCTCGATTGTAAAATCGCCTCGATAAAGGTTACTCACGGTAACCGAAACGTCGGCTTATTTGCACCTGTACCGACATCGCTATGTTTTCAAAATTACAACTTACATTATGCAATGTTACCTGTGCATTTCAAGGGCTCTAGTTGTCGGCCAGGGTAAAGATTCCAAGCAGTGGACACTAGCACAGAAACTGCACTTTATCACCAGTCATTCCTGAGTACACGATCAGATTTTTGATGAACAAAGAAAGAGAATGTTAGAAGGAAATTCATGTAAATTACGTTTTGTTACCTCAACAGAGGACTGACCACTCAGGAAGCTGAAACAGAACTCCTCTCACGTGCCTCACAACTCATCACCTATGGAATTGATCCATTCCCTGTCCGGGTGAGTACCTATTTCATAATGTGTACCTCAACGCACTTGATGAATTTGAGAGATTATCACATTGGATTTTGAATAAATGTAAGATAGCAAAAGTGTTTTCGTTAATAATAATAATAATGCGTCAAAACGGCGGGATCGTTTGTCATTTTCAAGCATTAAAAGGATAACGCATCCAATGTTTTGTATGTTTCTACAGTAGCTCTGGTTTCCAGTTTTCATCATCTTGATCATGGTTAATGGTTGTACAAACTGAACTGAACTGAAACTTGATCGTTTCAAGATGAATGGTGACATATTAGTTCTAGATAAGATGACGCATTATGATCGTCATCCAGGTAGTCAAATAGACAGTATAATGTTTTTTCCAGCTGTCTTTTCTGTTGTGCTGGATGAATTGAGTTGTTATCTGGGAGCAGACTTCAGTGACGGTCAAGCGGTTGAAGTCATCATTCCAGCTACCCAAATGTTGTTTGCGCGAATTACAACACCGTCATTGTGCATGTCCCCAGTCAACCCTTAACTGGCGGCAGTCCACTTCCCGAGAACATTCGACAAATAGAATAATGTAAAAACGAATAGACGTGAATAACAGTAGCATTAATTCTATGCTGTCCATTGGTGCTTTTCCACTTTTCCTAGCTTGGATCTATAGATCTGAGAAGTAACGGATTTTACTATTAATATACAACACTTCAATATGTTTATCATCTTTTCCTGATTTTGTTTGTTGATATTTTACCTTTTTTGTATGTCTTTGGTGACTTTCCTAACTGTACAATACCCTGCTGTGAACGAACCGACATTTCATGTTTGATCACCTAAGGAATTTGAATTTACATATGTTTTAAAATGAAAGTTATCTATCCCGTTGAAGTAACCATAATCCTTTTGGGGAATTGTTCACAACTCAGCCTTTGCACAAAGTGATCATTCCCAGTGCCACCTCCTCCACTTCGAGTACGAACGAAGCTGGGGACCAAATGCACACGGAAACAAACGCGTCAGCAACCACAAATACGACCACAACACACGGGACACCGGTGTATCTGCCCAAAGGAACCGCTTTTTATATGGGCATCACCGGGACTGGTTTGGTGACATTTGTCGGTCTGCAACGCAATCAAGAATACCACTGGTAAGTGTAAACATCTGTGTCTCTCACGTTGTTCTAATTAGTAAACATTTTTCACATATTGGTAAAATTCACTCGTTAACATTTGCAGTTTTCGTTGGATCCGAACGCCCAACTCGATGGACCACCCCACGTTGCTGAATTGCTTGAGCTGTCTATTGCCAATGTCCATACACAGTGTTTATTCCAACACGGGATGTGTGAATAGTGCATTTGTGGGTATGTGTGCGTACTAGTTAGAAGAGGAATAGGATTTGATCAAATTAAATTTCCCATGTGTCATGACCTCTTTCCGGGCATTTCGTATCTACATGTATCTGCATACATTCAATGGAATGTATCGGTAAAGACAACCAGTAGCGTTCCCGTTTATCCATTTGGTCTCCGATGTGATTCAGATGAGGTGAGCGACAACGCGATTCAGCTGCTCTCAAACCACAAGAATCAATTATCCGCAGCGTGGTTCCACTGCTTTGGATAATAAAAAAGTGACTGTTTCGGATAGTTCACCGAAATTTGCGTTCAGGGAGTAAAAACATTGCCTTTTTCAGTTTAAGACGTCCGAAATCCAATTTAGGATATCACAGTATGGGTTTAAGATGTCCGAGTATCAATTTAAGGTGTCATGTTGCTATGTAGATAGTAACTTGCACAGTACAGAGTAAAAACATAGCAACGTGATATCTTAAATTCATATTGTGACATCTTAACTTGGATTTCGGACATATTAAATTCATATTTTGACATTTTAAATTGGCTTTCGGACATCTTAAACTGAAAAAGGTATAGAAACAGGCAGATGATAATGATAATAATGTTTAGAAAAGAAAATTGACCAATTCGCGAAAAACAACTTTAAAATAATTGATAAAGAATATCTTTTTTGACCCGTTTTCAATATAAATTATCTCCGGTTAGCTACAATCAGGTAATTCGTTGATAAATAAGTACTAGTAACTAACATTTTTTCTTCACATACCTAGCGTTGTATGAGGGTAAGGGATCATGGCTGAATGAGACTAATTGCAGAGAGCAATCGTGCAATTTGTTGAAATATTCGATTGTGAACATGATGGTTACAGTCAGACAGAATTTGACCCAGAATGAGTGAATATTATAATGATGGGTAACGTTTTGGTCCGACATCTAAACACCTTGGGGCAGTCACTTGTTGCACTCGATTTTACGATATACCATCTGTCCTTGGCTGCGTTGTACCATTATACTTCCTGTCTATGTGCACTCACCCCATCCCCAGTCCTTTGGAATGCATTGGCTGGTTGTATGTCGGCCTGTGTGTGTGTACCCGTCAGGGTAAAAGATGATATACTCGACTGCAATCCTTTTTTCGTTTGNTATTGACCGTTTTGATTGTATTTCCGACAACTGATCATCTATCGATTTTTCACCCTTTACCCCTACACTCATTGCCTTGCACTGGGGCGTTTGTTGTTCCTGGACGTCTATTACAGGGACCAGATACAACGTGTGGGTTGCGACGGGGAACGGTTTTTGGTTTATTTGAAAAAAGATGAAGTGAGTGTTGGAATTATGGCAGTTACCTATTCAATTACGTATTTTACGGTTTTGAACAATGTGTACAATATATATATATATATATATATATATATATATATATATCAAACAACAAATTCCATTGGTTTTAGTAAACCAATTGCCGTTCAAACATGGTATATCAATAAAATAAAAATACCCTTATTATTTTGCGTTACACTGATGGAATTTCTTATCACATCCGTTATTATTTCCCCGCGGTGTCAAAATCTAGTCATTCGTTTTTTATCAGAGAAAGATACAAAGTTATTCCTGGTGTGTGTGTGTGTGTGTGTGTGTATACGCACGGAGACGGTCATTCGAGTACACCTTTCCTCTTTCATACTTAGCGAAAATGTCCATTCTGCTGTCGTTCTCTTATGGTTCTGCGGACAAATGTTTCTCCAACGTCGTCGTTGATCATGTCGATTGTTTGTGTCCTGTGCGCATGCAGTTTTATATTTTCCCGTTTTTACGTTAACACACACATAACAGTGTTAATTATTTCATTTATGCATCTGGAAGGTGGAAATTAAAAGTGGGCTACCTCTAGCCGAATGTTTCGTACAATCGTTGTACTCATCGTTCACAAAATATGAAAAGGAGAGCAGTCCTACAAATTGGAAACGATGAAATGAGTTAACTTATAATATTTAACCCTGACAAAGAACACAGTTCAGTTGCGCAGTTATGAGTTTTTAACATTACATGCTTACTGTACGAATACAATGCTCATATAGTCATTTTCTAATGAAAAGGTTGGAAGATACTAACTTATAAAGCTAAGCCTGAATTTGTTTTGAAGAAAACTAAATTGTGAATGACATTGTTATCCTATCCACTTGCTCTATTAAGATAACAACCAAAACCGGCGCACGAAAGTGTATGTTTATGGTCGTACGAACTAAATCTGAAACTGAATTGTTCTCTTTAGGCTATTTTATGTTTAACTGCGGCTGAAGAGACATGAAAATGAACAAAGGGCTAAGTCTTGTTTTTCATTTCAAACAATCCAATTGCATACTCTAGCGTCAGTATTGAACATATGTATTCAACTTGATTACGATTCAAACCGTTAATCTGTAGCCAAATATCTGCGGCAATCGTCTTCCAATACCCATAGGTATAAACTTTGTTTCTCTTTTCAAATGATTGGTAGTCCTTCAGGCTGTCATTATTGTATTCGCGGACACAATTTCCACATTCTGGTTTGTAAGAATATTCTCTGGAATCCTCCCCAAGTGTAAAGCACACGGTAGCGCGCATTACCGATCAATGTACGTAGGAGCTTATCAGTTTAGTTTTCCTCTCGCCCTCTATTTCTCTGCGAATCTCCATATTCCATATGAATCAGTCAAGAGTTCTTAAGCGACGACACAGTCTAGGACCAACATTTCGAAGCACGTATTTTGCCGGAAGGATATACAGTCGAACACACTGGGACGATCAGTCGGTCCACGTGAGCTCAACTAGTTAATCACTGTGATAGAATCCATAAAATCACTTGTCTTTCAATCTACCTGTTCCGTGAAAGAGGGTTTTCAAGTTCTGTTTAGGTTTGCGTTTGATGTTTCACTCAAAACGAAATGTTGAAACTTTTCCCGGTTGGAACGGTTACAGAGCACGCTTTCTCATAAGAAACTTGTTGGTTCATTGTTACTGTTACATAGTTCTCGTCAGAATTTTAAAGAAAGTTTTAAGCTGGATTCCTCGTTTGACATTTCACAGTTATTCATATTTACCAATGATTCTGGTAAATTTCGGTGTTTATTCACTGCTATCCCTCTCGTTTTATGTTTTCGTGCAATTCAATGTCCATTTTATACCGCCAACAGTTTTAAATCCAATATGATTTCGTAAAACGCTGATTGGCCTTGTTCCATACATGCGGAAATGTAGGCCTTTTGTTTCAGGGCTAATACAAACAGAAGAGTAATCTGGCAATATGCCTAACAGAAATGGGTCTTTTAATAAGAATAAAATTCACTGATCGGGAAATCAAACTGAGCGCAGAACTCGTCAAGGACAGATTCTCCGTTATAAATCGTTCCGTGTTCTTCTTTTTTTCTATCAAGCAGCAAATTGTTTCTTGTTTGTTTGTACTGTTTCCGTTTTCTCTCTTATTGGGTTTCCCACTACCGATCAAGTGCTTCACTATTATGTGAGATTGATTATGTGAGCGACCCAAATGTCACGAAAATCATATATTGTCCTATATACCAGAACCTGCGTCAAGCCCCCCCCCCAAAAAAAAAACAAACAAACAAAACAAATACAGCGAGAACGGTTGGAGAAGAAGAATAAAGTCCACAGAAATTGATCGGCATGTGCTCTTTCGTAGTGATGCGTTCGTCAGGTGACCACGTGTTTGTCGTGGAGGCTATTATTTCCAACGGGTTGCATTCTGACAGGTTTCAACCCGGTTGATGTGAATCGAGAAACACCTCTCACGTGCATGTGCTTTACGACATAGGTTTTCATGCATACCTGCCATCGAATTGGAGCTAAAAGTCATATCACTTCAAGCTTATTATACTCACCTTCATATTTTAAGCTGCACCATTGACTTGTGTTCAGTTTCATTACTAGAAAAGTACTCAATCGGACGACAGGACAGAACGGGACGTATCACTAATCGCTTTTTCATTCAGACTTATTATCTGTTTCCCGACAGTGCTTATTGATTTTTCAAGCATTCATACACTCATGTTGATTGCAACAGAATTGGATTGTATAAGCTTGCAAAATGTGTCGACACCGTGAAACAGCTGTAGACTTTAGGACTTTGGTTGCGTACGTTATCAGGTAAAGACTTCACTCGTATTTCAGGATAAAGGCTTCTTGAAGTTTAGAAAGAAAGGGTGGTTGTCATTGGAGTGAATATCTTCATTTTACCATTCATCGTTTAATTGACTTGTGTGCATTCAGAAAGCGTTTGAAAACGAAACAACAATGGATCAAACAAATATAAAGTTGTATGTACAAACAGCTCTTTCTTCCTCTCAGTTGATCGGAATGGATTAATGAGTCTATAAAATCAAACATACCAATTTGGCATAGCGAAAGCATAAAAAACAAAATAACGTTAATGCAATTCAACTTAAGAATATATTAAGCACCTGTATAATCAAGCTTTCTTCGCCACCTTCCCTCACTGTCTGTTTGAACCATTTTGAACACCCAACACTTCATTTTTCATTCAGTTACCCTAAGTCACATCTGTGTTATTGTTCCACATTGCATGCCAATCAATTTACCAAGATACTCATCTCATTAGACCCCTATGATTGCCTCTCTCATGCGTCTACCCCTCTTTGTTTCAGCCTAAACCAGGCAAACGATTATTCCGGGTACTTAGCTTTTTTGGTTTTGGGGTTTTACTTATTTCCCCTCCATCTTACCCTCACGCGTACACCCAACATGTGTATTCACCACGTTTGGCATTATCATCCGATTTGGTACAGTTATTTTGTGTACGCAGGGTTTTCAGCCGCCGCTCGGTTGTGCGCGCGCGCTAAGTTTCCGGTGGTTTTCATGCATCAATCGATCCGTTCTCCTCATAATCTTTGGCATGGTCTGCCCCCTTCATTGCTGCCGTGCGCATATTATGCTGCTGCAGTTCCCAATCCTTTCGAACAGTTGACATTTTACTCATTTCTAAAGCATGATCCGGTGCCGTACACAATCCTCAATTGGGGATAATGAGTCAACTGCCTGTGATTTTCATCTCAGTCGATAGATAGAAAAATACTGATGGTGTCATACGCTCATTTCACACATTCACCTAACACTAATCGCCAATCATATCTGATTTCAACTGGTCCCACCGTATGCGCCCCCTTGGTTCGTACCCTCCTCTTGAGGAACATTTCTTTCATACTGCAACGGTTTTATGGTTATTTAGATCGTCTATCATGGTTGTTTCTTTGTGCGATGTGCTGAGTGGCATGCTGTTCACGAGCACTATCAACATGCACTCCTCCTCTCATTGACTACTCACGGACAGCCATTGTGTGCCAGTTTCACACTGCATTCGGTCCCATTTTTGTCCTGATTTAACATCACCTTGTGTGTTTGATGTACGTGACCTAATAATGACAAAGCGCGCTCCTCCCATTGTGTCGGTGTTTGTTACGATTGATGTTGTTCTACTCAGAATATTATCACTGTAACTGTTGTCGTCCTAACTTAAGGTGCGCTTGTACTTTTGAGGCTTACACATGCCATGTATGGATGTGTATCAGCGTGCCTGTATTCATTTTGAGAGACGCGCGCGCACACAAGCGCATGCTTTACTATCTCCACGTATTCTCATACTTTTATGGTAAGCAAAAACAGTTTTGTTTCTTCTCGTTTTGTCTTGGCTATCACTGGGTCTGCGCAAACCAAGACATGGTTTTGTTGTGTAGTGATTGAACCGCGTTTCTTTTTTTACTCGTTTTCTTTCGTTTTTCTGTTTTGTTTTGCTCACCGATTTGTAGAACAAATCCAATGTGCTCACATTCCATTGCGAATCAAAAGCTGCCGCGTTGGCATTATGGCGCTGGACTGTGGATCGGAAGTGTTTCTTTACGTACGTCACACAGTCAAGGGTCTTGATTTTTATTGGGCTTGTTGCTTCACAGTAATTGAGCGATGATGTTCACATACTTCTATTTCGTGAAGCGTTTCTCTGTTTGATTGGTTTTTTTGTTGGCTTATTTGATTTTAATTGCTTTCTGCTTGTTGAGCATTGTGCTTTGATTCTTTGGATTCGGAAATTCAATAGGCCAATCCGAGAACGTGCAGTAACGTGCAGTAATGTCTATGAGTGTCCGATATCTGCTCTACTTGTTTTACCCTACCGATTTACTTTCAATTTCAGTGGTGAGGGTTCCGTGCATCTTCTTAACCCGAACACTGCCACAAGTAAAAATCTCCATTCTTCGTCTGTGCTCTACATCTGATGCCCAACAAGTAAAACGGGACTCAAAATCCTCGCCACAAGCTCGAGCTAAAATTAATTACTGCATTAAATAATCTCAATTCTGCACCTGCGATTCACACTAACAATTGTGAATACCTGCCATCTCTCACCATACTGTTCTTTATGCTATTCAGATAAACCAAATTAGGGCTTTATGGTAGCAAAAAGATCAAGTATATATTTGTATTCTGAGTATAATAATGTGGAAGGGACTCGGTAGTAAAAACCTCTCAGTGAGTTTTTGTTACCATAGAGTTATGATGCACAACACATCGAAAAAAATCGGTTGTTTCACAGCGATTCGGTTCGTTTATGCGCAAGTTTTGTCTTTCATGTTTTATGTTTCTTCTTCCCCCGAGCAGGTTGAAACAGGCAAGCGAAGCAAAACGATTGCGTCCCACATCGAACATTTTCCAACGAAGCCACACCTACAGATTCTCGTAAGTTGAATTCCGGGGTCATGATATCTTTTATTGGCTCTTGACAAATAAACAATTACATTCACACTAAAATCCCCGTGGGCTTACCAAAGGGGATATTCCTTTTAATCTTCTGTTCTCTTCTGGTTGGTTGGAGATTACTTTTTCAAATAGATTACAAGATGTGTGCTTGTTTGTTTTACGTCAGTGATTGAGAAGACTAAACGAAATGTTAAAATCTCGCGACATATGTCTTCTTTCGGTCTTGGTAACATTACAAGAAGTTTTGTTGAATATTCTCCCAGCAGATCTAGCCGCGCGGTTGCATTTGCCCAATACTGTCAAATTCGCAATGAAACCCTTTTTGATATCGTTGTAGGGGTCGTTCACAACAGGAACTCACATCCATTCCTATACGGAACACGAAGAACGACTTTGTACGGTAAGTATGCATGTACCGGTTATTCGATACTTTTGTGTTCATAACGCTCACTTAAAAAAAATCATCAATGAAGCTTGGTGAAGAACGCCGGGATACATCTTTGAGCGAGCCCTATTGAATTAAAAAAGAATATTGTTTACAAACAGCATCAAAGTTTATCAAGCTTCCAACATAGTTTGTCGAAAGAAAATAAATACGTTCTCGTGATATTCGTGCATGCTTTAAATTAACCCCACCTAATGAGTTAATTGGATTGATAAACTGCTGAGCACGGTGAGCTTATTTAATAACCGGAATTTTCCTATCTCAATGCCCCTGAAAGAAATCAGTGCGTTGCCCGTTGGTTGATTTCTTTTAACAGTATTTCATCTCGTATGAAAACCTTACCCTTTACACCTTATGACAAAGCCACGGAATTTCTAGCTACTATGCCAACCAGCCTCGGTTAGTAAAATGTGCCGTTAAAACAGACCTGCTTTCAATCATTGCATACCCAAGAAAAAGTTGCGATCTAAGGAGGCCTGAAAACGAGACAGCACTTGACTTGTGATGACAAGGTTTGGATAAACATGAATCCTTTTGAGCGTCCATTCGCTTCACGAAACAGAGAGCGCGAAATTCTTCTGTCAAAAATCGGGTCCCCATGAGAAAGAAGCTGATGAGAAATATTTTTGAAAAAATCTACACATGTTCGTACTTATCACCTGAAAGCAAAGAACGTCTTCGGCTAAAATGAAGCGACCATTTAAGCAGATCTACAAAACCGCCGAGTTGTGTGATACTCCAATGAACAGTCTGACAACTGTGGTTATTCTGACCAGAAATTTTATAGGTTCCATCTGTTTCATCGATTGTGTGTGTACTGGGGTGCACTTCTAGCAAAGAAAGAGTCCCATATGAACTAGTCAGTTTTTCATTACCGAAAAAATGCTATCCTCTTTTTTATTCTTTTTTTCTCCAATGGAGTCTGTTGGGATGTCAGCGAGAGGGAAAACTTCATCTTACTGTTCGATTTTGAAAAATCTACATGACAAACTTGACCACGTTTTAGGAGGGAAGATGATCAGATGTACGTTTGGCGACTTCTCGATATCGTATCTTCCCGAAGCGGTCGGTTGCTTATTGACCTTTTCCTAGAATTTGGTGATCAAGTACCGTATTTGGTTGATTCTGTGCGTCGCGCACTAGCATGTGAAAAATAATTTCACAACTGTTAGTGACTTGAATGTGATTGTGGAGCCGCAGAGCAGCAAGTAAACAAGAAATCGGTTATTTCGATCCAAGGTACAGTTGTTTGTTCTCACTTGGGATGCGGATATGTGTGCAGGCTTCCGAGGACTATCGATTCCCACTTTGTGAACTTGATTATAATAATAGTCACTAAGGTTCGCTGTCAGTCAGTACACGACTTGAATGGGTGATTTTTGTTTCATTGTACGTTCCATTTTCAAGACATTGACACTGAATGATAGGCAAACTAGATTTTTGTTCGATGAAGCGGTCTGCAATACAATATATTCCAACAACTTGCGTGCTAAAGTACGGTTTTATAGCTGTCACGTCATATGAGGCCTTATTCTGGAGCATTCATTGAGATGAATTTGATATGTTCAAAATTCATCTTTGCATAATTGTTGAAAAATTTTCCAGGACTGATCAATTGTGAAAATAATCTCATCAGTCTAGTCCGAATGATTCGTTTCATCGTTTCGTATAGACTTGAGGTTTTTTACTGATTATTATTTTTGTCCCTATTTATCTGTAATTTTCAACTTATTTTTCTGGTGCAAAATGTTCGCTTTCTGAAATATGCATAATTCAAAAGTGACTTGTATTTTTTAAGTCCTAGATTTTATGCGGTTAATGGAATATATATACATATCACATATCACGCTAAAATAATCGGATTTGTGATTTGTTCTAGTGTCTCAAGCTTGCGAAGAGTGATAGGTTCATATACAAGTGGCGATTCTAGCGCTTCGTTTGGTCGCGCTACCTTACCTAGTCGGCTTCGCCCACCCCTGGAACTGCGGGAGGAGAACAGACCATGCGAAATAATTGAACCACCGGCTGAAGCAGTCACTTCAGCGGAGAATATGAAAGCGGGTAAGTGGAATTGAATTTCGGTCAGGGACAGTGCTACTTTGTTAAGCAATTTAGTTGAACGAAGTAGTTTACTACTATGTTTTCTCTACTAAAACCGTTGACATCATAATTTCAGTTGTTTCCAGTTGGAACAAGGCAAATATTTCTTGATATGTACGTGATTATGCTGAGATCCAGGTGACTCCAAAGTCAGTTGTAGAAACAGGTTTTAGCTCACTCATAATTGAGCGGTTGACATATGGATGACTGTTTTCTGGTCATATTTTTATTAGTTAAGTTTTACTGTCATCCGCGAGCCTCGTTGAAGTTTATATCCGTTTGTATGGAAATTTGAGATCATGGTGGATTCCTACTTGTCTTTCGACCTCCACGATTATGTAATAGCACCTGTGATCCTAATAACAAAACGTTTGGAGCTTAAACAAAATGTTCAAAAATGAACTGTCACTACTATCTGATTTTCTATCCACGTTCTACTTACCTGCCTTTGGGAATTCTAACTATTAGAATCTTTTGTAAAATCTAGAAAATGTGAGAACAGTGAACGTGGGAATCATTGCAACTACAAGGGATATTGACTAACCATCATTGGTTGCGTTCGAGAGATAAAGATACCGATAGATGGTTATGTGGGGTGACATTTAGACGAAGTACCTCAAATCAGAGGATTGTTGTCTCCATGGAATATCCCTTCAGCTGTTAATCTTCATATGACTCCGAGAAATTACTGTTCAGTGCCTAGGGGAGATACCCCGACAAATCACTCCATAGGCAGGCTGAACTAGGCTGAGGATAGCCTCGATGCCGAAATGTTTTCCTGTAAGACATTATTCTGCTCCCTTTCAGATTGCTCTGTGATGTGCAAGTTTGAACATGCGCATTCAAGGGAGCAAAGGGTGCAGGGAACAATACTTCGTATCACATTCCCGTGTTCCTTCCATGACAACTTTTGGGGTATTTAAAATAAGTCTTATGGAGGCTTATTAGCGTAGAGAGATTAATAGTTAAGTATGAAAAGATAAAGAGCAAATCACTTTGCAGAACCAGAGAGGAATAACTCACACTACCATAGAAGTGTCCAGGAGGGCAGACGTAGTCAACCACTCAGTTGACTTTTGGGTAATTCGTCCTGAGACTTGGCAGGATCCTCCGTGATTGTGTGCGGCAACCCTTAATCATCTTGGTGATATAAACGAGTGCTAACGAAAACCGACGGAGGATTGCTAGTTCGAGTGTTTCCAATTGCAACAATCAAAGCGGATGTTAAGATAACAAGAGGGAAAGAACTGCGGTTTCCAAGCGGGTAGGAGAGAATGTTCTTCATGTTCTTCTTGTTACTAATATGGGAAAATAAGTGAATTTTATGGATACTAACAGGTTGAGGACGAACATGGAACTCTTAAACTTACACTTAGCCAGTGGATTCCGTATATGGTGTCACCATCGGATCAACATCTTCACCGGTCTCACGACCAACAATCGTACCTGGAAAGATACCATTCCGGATAAGCAGGAAACTGACCAATCATCGAGTAGAAGAGTCATAACAAATGAACGAAAAAGACCATCCAATGGTTTTTAGTCCACTTCTTAACTATTTGCCATATAACTTATCCGATTACTCTCTGAATACTCCCTTTAAAGTTTTTTAACTGCCCCAAACACTGTTATTGAGAACAAAACATACATATTCATTGTACATCAAACAGGGGGCAAGCAAAACGCGGACATCGTAGATACTATAAATCCTGAAAGATAATCAGTTAAGAGAATTTTGTTTAGTATCATTGGCTCCATTTGTATCGTGGCAAGTCATATAATATTTCCCTGAATAATAAAATAACCCAGAGGAACTAAATCAGTTAAGTTCTCCCACATTTTAAATAACACGCTGTTACGGTTCGACTGTAGAATATGATCACGTCATTGCGTCCATGTACACGTGTTTCTGACCTTTGATAGCATCACAGAAACCACATAGATATGGCCGTTCTAAAACGTCCCCACAGATATACTACAAAATGCTTCGTGACCCATACTTGATTAATCGTTTACGGACTTATACGGCATGAAACCGAACTGCTCCCGAGTTTGCTTAGTGGATTGAGGGTGGGGGACTGCATGTGTGTGTGTGTGTGTACAAGCGAGCAGGTTTGTGCATGCCGTTTGTACACCTGCTACTATCCCGCCCATACATGAACGCTGGTGTGTGAGCGGGTATTTTACGAACAGTTTATTGACTGATCATCAGAACTTAATGGATCATGAGCACCTTTTTTTTACGCTTCTAGTCTATTTCTCACCCGTATATGAACTAACGCGAAGACTATGTTTGTCCACACAATCCCACGGGGCAGATTAGTAGCTGTTGGTGACACTGTCTGTTTTTAGACGAATCACAAATGTTGGTTGGCTCTAGCTCGATTTGGCATTTTTATTTGGTGTTCCGTTAATTGATTGTATCTTTTTTGGGTCATCTGTACAATTTTTACTTTTGAGACGTAGCGCGTTTCGATGTTAGGTTTCATTTCCCGTACTGGGGCTTCGGAAATTCGGGACAGTTTTTTTAACCTCACCAGGCCTCGGTTACGGTTGATTTAAAACGCCAAAGCAAATCAATCAAGGGAGGAGGGATAATAGTTTCTACTTGTTCGTTGAAACTTGTATTTGTGCAGTTGATGGATAAAGCGAATAGATACACGCCTACGGTGGTGGAGCATGCATTAAGCCAAACGGTTTCAGTCGGTCAGTTTTCATGCAGCTCCTTGTGGGGCAAAATGTGAATGCGATAAACTGTGTGAAAAAGTGCATGGAACGGCATCTAGTTATTTGCGAATTACAAATCAAAGTTTATCCAAAGCTGTAACAAACTGCAACTTAGGATGAATAGACAACCAGTAGCAGTCACATACATCGTATCCACACCTCAAACAACAAGCGACTGCTCTATTTATACATCAATAAAACCAATAAAAGTGATCGATTTTCAGTTGTCGAATTCCAGCTGGGTTAGGAATAGTCACTCACGGACAAACAAACNAACAGCAACTAATCAAGGCGAATGCTGTGAGGCTTAATACTTAAAATAAAACCCACAGAAGTTTATTTTACTGAACCTTCCCACGAACGCTATTATTATGACTTTCTTTGGATATTGGAATTTTGCACATTGGTGAGGTTATGCTTAATCATTCATGTTCAGTTATGGGTTTTTGGTATGTAAGGGCTGTAACTTAAGGTTTACTAGTATAAATAACAGATGTTCACAGGGGTGGCTTGTTTCATACAGACAAGAGTTTTGACTAGGTGTAACAGCAGCTTAAAACGTGAAAAAACCTTCAGAAAGCCGTCTGGAAAAGTCAAATACACAGCACTGAGACGCTTATGTTTCCACAGGTTTTAATGCGGGAGGGTAAACTTCGGTCGGAAAAACCAGATCAATTGAGTATCAGGGATAAATTGCAGTAACGCACAGGCAAAAGGATTTCGATCTCAAAACACCACAATGTCCGGATTATCCAGCTAAGCATATCATTCAAGTGTTCTCTTGTTCCCTTAATTAATTAACTAATTGCTCACATTAGAAGCCGTAAACGGATTTCTGTTTCCAAAGCTGTGTGATTGAAAATACAGATTTCCGAATTGAAAGTAGTTTGGTTATTATTGCTTTCTTTTGAATTGTTTCGAGATTGATATTGATTTGCATTTGTCTAATTCCTTAACATCGAAAACGGGAAGTTCGTGGTGGATGGTTTTCGGCATTGCATACAATTATTTGATTTTTCCTTTCAGCCGTTATTATCCCAGATACGGTAATCGAACAGCCCGCTGAAGAAGAATCTGCAACTGCGGTGATCTCGGAGCACAAAGCGGAAGAGAACAAGATTGTGTGAGTTGATTTCGAATGAACAAACGCGTAGTTTGACTCAAATCACAGCAAAAATACAAACATCATTCAGCCGTATGTTATAAATGCTTATTGACCTGGAAATCACTAAACAAATTTCAATAATAGGATAGCTTTTATTCAATATTTCTATCGCTGATTGTATCCGTTGTTTAATTTCTGATGGACACAGGATATGGGTTGTTTTCATCGAAGCAGTTCATCATTTGATCAGGTCATGCCAATTTGTTTATTTTGTTCTTTAGGAAGTGCCATTTTCAGTAAGGGGCAAGTGGTCAATCAAAGAGCTGCCATGCAGCAGGATGGGAAAAGTCAGGCGGCGGTGGTAGGTTTCAAAATTAATTCCTCCGGGATGATTATTTGGTGACCTTTTTTACTCGACCACCACCGCCCCAGTCATTAGTTAGCCACATTAACCGACGCCACCCGGCGAGGTTTATCTGATCGTCTTTTCAAGTAATGTGATGACTGTGTCCTGGTCTGATTCTGGCTTGTTAGAGGTTGTAAAATCATTGATTTTACTGTTTACAACAAATCTGTTTAGCTCTAACACTCGATAAATCCTTTGATTTCTGTGATTTCTGTGAATGGCACCGCGAATTGTGTGAATTCATTGGATTGTTACTTGATTTTTCAGTTGATGGTCCCGAAGATGATGCAATTCAGCGCTTGTGAGGAATGCGTCAGTCCGATATAACTTCAGAGAGCAATTGATGCTTAGTTTGCGTTTGCTTCTCTTCTAAATTTTTTGTTCATATTCAGTGAGGAGGATCCACAGCCACAAGTGATCGAGCCGGAAGTCGAAGAACCGCAGATACAGGCCACTCAAATGCCTCCCCAATTGACCTCGGTGGAAATACCCAAAGCCAGATCTGAATCGGAGACCACAGTTCAAACGGTGGAAAAGAAAAAGGTTGAGGTGAGTTTTGATTGAGCAGTGAGTTGTGTTTCTCTCATTGGGACTCGAAACGAGTGACTGCGTTCTGAATAAACGGTTTATAATAATCTCTGAAAACAGATCGTAGCAGTGAGTGCTTGTCCTGGTCCAGAAAGACCTAATTGAATTCATTGTTTCATATGAGCGCTAGTAGTAATAGTAGCAGTAGTTCATAGGAAGTCACCTTTGAAGGCGCAAAATAACAAAGTCCCAGCTCTCTGATTCATACAGAGATAATTTGAGCTCTTAGCTGGGCCACCACTTAATGCGTCGTGCGTCAGGGTTTCATCCTTTTGGCCCCCATTTGAATTTACGGTAGAGAAGATGTTAGAGCGGCCCTTTTTTCCAGTACAAGGACGCTGGTGGAAGTGTTTTACAACGGGCCAAGTTGATTTTATAGAGTATGCGAGCAGGGTTTGCTACCAAACAATGCTTCGCTTAGAGTGCATACGTTTTCTCGGTAGCTCGATTGATGGTATCCCTTTTGCACCTACAAAAAGTAAAATACTAATTACACTATCGATTTTACTCCGACTCGGAAGATACTAGAAAGGGTGGACTGATGTTGTCACCCACTCACTCACACAAGTAAGGCTTGTTTAACGTTTGCCAACTTTCGAAATTTGTGCAGTCACCACGACATTCGTCGACCCATACGCTGCAGCACTCCGGTAGATGCCGCTATGTTGGGTATCAAAACCATTTCGGGTAAAAGAATAACGCAGACTTCTAGTGTCCGAATGCCAATGTTTTTGCATCCTTTTACAAGTCTACTGAGAGAACCGGACGAACAATGCCATTTCTAGATTAAATGTAAAGAGCCGTTGTCGTCGCACATTAGCACAGGTGCTTCGTTTTCATAGATGACAATAACTAAGGTGTATGCTACACGTGTGACTGGTCAAACCCCTTTGACGCACGATTATCGTACATTTGGATGGTCATTGAGGGTCGACAGACTGTAGATTACTATGTAAATCGTACCCGTTGTGTCACGTCAGGCTTCGCATTTAGGGAGCATCGTTTAAAGTCTGACCAATAGTCGGATACTTTTGATGAAATGGCGATTGTTGTGAACAGTTACGCTCGCGTATCTACCTATTTTCCATGCGGGCATGCTTTTACATAATTGATGTATTTAAGAGCATTTGGTTTTTTCTTTTAGCTCGCATTTCAGTTTTTACTGACCAATAAGATGCGTAACCGAAGGATAGCAATTATAACCGGGGTGTGCAAGTGCACGACTGTTGTTTTTTAGAAGTGAAAATAAAATAAGGTTATTATTTGTTTTCACAATACTGTTTTTTAAGAATTTGTCTTCTATTTGATATCTTCTAGACCCCAGCTCGTTAGCAAATAACACGTATCCAGAAGATAGACAAAACCTGTTTATCAACATCCACAATTCTAATGTGCCTAGACCTGAAATTTGCATTCAAGCTCACTTGATTTGCAATCCCATATTGTAACATTCCAGTAAGAATCCATATAGCATGGGC